TTGTCTTGTGTTCTTTTGCCTGCCTAATTTTTGACAGCTTTTCTTGAAGCATAGTTCACACATCATATAATTCATCTCTTAAAGTCTGAAATTAAATGATTTTATTACCCTTGCAATTTTGTTTTGCAATCACCAATAACTAACCTCAGAACATTTTAATCACCTCAAAAGAGAAGCTCTGTACCCCTAGCGGTCATTCTGCCTTATTTTCCTTTTTATAATGGCTAAATCATTAATAAAAATCAAATATAAGACAGCAGACATACTTGCCTGTTCTTTGGGCTAAGTAACTTAGTCTTTTACTATTAAGTACTACAATGTTGCATGTGGATTTTCTGTAAATGCACTTTGTCAGTTGAGAAAGTTGCCTTTTATCCCTAGACTTTTGAGTTTGGAGTTATGGTGAGTGTTGGATTTCATCTCCCTACTTTTGTTCTTTCCCTTCTTCTATTTATTCTTCACGTAGCTGCCAAAATAATCCTAAAATATTAGTCAATTTAAGTCAGGCTTATGCTGATAATAATCTTGCAATGCCTTCATATTTCACTCAGAGAAAAAGCTAACTTATCACAGAGGGCCTTAGACCTAGTAGGACACCCCCTCCAGTTTCCTTCTAGAACTTACTTTCTAGTACTCCTCCCCCTAGGTAACTTTGCTACAGTCTCGGGCACTTACTTGCTATTTCCTGAGCACACCGGACACGCTCCTGCCCTGGGGTTTTCACATGTGTTACTTCTTCTACTTTAATGTGTTTTTGCCATGCGCTTCACCCCCTCACTTTCTTCAGGTCCTTGCTCAGATGCTACATGCAGTTAGTGAGGTAAGTCCTGGACGCTCCTAAAAATTTCAATCCTTTCTCAATGCTTCTACCTATGTTTTATCTTTCTTCATGGAGCTCCTCACCTTTCAGTAGACTATAGAATTTGCCTGCTTACCTTTTTTTTGTTCCTCTACTTTGATATAAGTTTTAAGCAGGGAAAAAAATCTAAGTAAGTTCCCGATGCACATTGTTTAAAATACTGTCTTCATGCATAGTCAGTGATGAGTAAATATTCACTGACTACATTACTGAGTCAGGACACTGAACCCAGGACCTTGGCACTGAGTTGTACCTCTCCATCCTTTCTTATTTTTACTTTTTTTCCACTTATTTTTCCACTTATTTTTACTTTTTTTCCACAGGAACTGACTCAGTTGCTAATTTGCCTAGATGTGCTCAAACCTGCAGTCCTCCTGCCTCTGCCTCCCAGGGTGCAAGGTTGACAGGCATGAACCACCAGACCCAGCTAGGATGCTTTCTATAAAGCTCTTACAGCCCTGAAATTGTAGGAAAGAAACTATGTGCCCAAGGAAGGAGAGTGGATTGACATATTCTGACATTAATGAATCCTATTAAGATGCTGTTTTCCTGGAACCCCAGGAATACTTGAACTTGGGTGTTACCCAACCGGCACCTACTCTTTGCAAGGTTATCACAGAAACATACATGTCTTTAGAAAAGAAAATCCATCCAGTAATTCACTCATTCAGTGGCTATTCATTGAAAATCTATAATGTGCATGGTATTGCACTGGGCTCTTGGCACACATCAAAAAGAAAGCAAGCTAAAATCCCTAACCTTATAGGAAGGGAAGAAATAAAATATATGGGGAACGGGAAAGTAAATTGCATGGCATGTTGCATGGCCAGACACTATGAAAAAAATAAAAGCAAGGTAAAATTTATTATGCAGAGGGTGAGTGGGAAACTGAAGGGAGGTCAGAACAGGCCTCTTTTAGAAGATGTTAATTAAGCAAAGACCAGAGAAAAGTGCAGGAATTAGTCATCCAAGTATTCTGAAAGAACATTCTGGGCAGAGAACATAGTGAGTACAAAAGCAATAATGTCAGAGAGCCTGGCTTGTTAAAATAGCGGGCACTGAGTGAGCCAGGGAGGGCCTAGCCAGAGACAAGAGGTACAAGGAACAAGATCATGTCAATCATGTTGGGATCGGCCAAGGAAAATAGAAAGCTCTTGTGTAAAGAATATACTGTGACCAGAGAGACACGTCAGGAGGCTGTGGCAGCGATAAAATATCAACTCATTGCTATAGTGGGCTCAAAGAAAGCAACTATTTAGTATCCAAAAATACAAGGGCAAAGCGATTACCCAAATGAGCGGAAGGCCTTTGTGCATTTAGTATAAGTAATATGCGTGAGTGTGTAATATATTAGTAATGAGTTATATTACAAATTGTGTGTGTGTGTGTGTGTGTGTGTGTGTGTGTGTGTGTGTGTGTGTTTGGGGAGTTAATCTTGGGAAATTGGTATATATATATATATATATCATCCTGATGATTTTTACTCCCCCTTCCTCCTCATGCCCTTCTCTCTCCTTTGTTTTGCTGTTTATTTACACTTAGAATTTCTCATATTAGAGAGGCCATGTGACATTTAACCTTTTGTGCCTGATTTATCTCCCTGAATATTGTGCTGTTGAGCATATGCAATATTCTTTAGAATTCCTCTCTTTACCTCATTCCATTTACCTGTGAAGCTTCATCTAAGGTGATCTTTGTCCTATAAGGCCTTCTCCGAATACCACATGCAATTATTTCATCTTCTCAGCACCTACAGTTTCTTCTATGGAGCTGTGCCAAGTTGTGTGGGGCCTGCATGTGACCATACACACTGCTCCTGGGCAGTCAGCTCATCTAAGTCTGAGTTACAGACTGATATGCTGTGAGTGCTCAACATGCTTGCTCGATTCACGTATGCACACAAGGTCTTTCCAGGGAGATTAGGTAGGACAGTGGGCCTAGGACAGAGTAGGTATAAATGTTTTGCTGAATAAAGTACTAAATGTATTTTAGCATCTGTGACTAAAACTGATATGCATTCCCTTCATCTCTAGATATAGGAGGCTCCAGGGTTAGTCCCTGTTTCATGGTAGGTACTCTTTATTCTGATTGATGATTCTTTTTGTCAGTGATCTTTCTGGCCTTTAAGGCTAGGGAAGAAAACTATTTTACAGAGATCAGAAAGCGTACTATTTGGAAGAAAACATAGATGTTGTTAGCCATTGGATAAATGATGACACTGAGCCAAGCGAACAACCATCAGCAATGAGCAGAAAAATCAAACTCAATTGCATTCCAGTCAGCCAGACTGAACGTGGCTAACTGGCCACCATTGCTAATCTTGGCTCACTGCCTAAGCTGATGGATGTCAAACAACTTTACAAATGATCAGAACAGCAGTGATTGATACTATTCAAAGTAGGCTAACTAAAGCAAATGTGCTCAGGTGTGCATTAGCAGGAGCTCCAAGCTGGGAGGAATAAAGCAATTGTGTGCCCGTCAGCAAATACCCACCTTTTATTTTCAGTATGCCTGTCTAAGCAGTGAGAGATTGTAACTAGATGACCTGTGTCCTTGAAGTTCTAATTAATCTCTTGGATGTTTACAAAATGTCCCGCATGTCTTGGACAAAAGCTCAATTCTCAAGCCAGCCAGCCAGCCCACCCATCTGACCTTTATTTCTTAAGGCAGAAAGGGGGCTTCATGACTCAAAGAAGCAGACACAAGAGAGAGGTAATTCACTGAGAAACCTGCTACTTCTTTTATATAGTAAAAGTGTCCATGAGAGTTTAATAAAGAAAATTGTGTTCCCTCTCAGTACTGATATGATTGTTTCTAAGGTACTGCCTCTTATGCGGAATGTCAAGGGGAAATTACTTTATGTCTCTCCAGTGGTCCTTGGGAAGTGGAGAACAGGACCACGCAAATAGTTTGTAACAGCAAGATGTAAGGGTAGTGATTTCTGATTGGTAGCAGAACTGATTTATCATCCGTTTCCTGTCTGCCTTTCTATCTACTTCATGCCCACCCTACCTAAGAACAAAGCAGAGAGGAGGAAGCAGGTGCGTGTGAGGGCAGGGCACTTCACAAGCGAAATCAGGGCTGTGTTCTTCCCATTGGTCCTTAGACATAGCCTGATGCTCTCTGACCTCCTTGTTGTATTGCACTCTCTTCTCCCATCCCTCCCTCCTTCTACCGTGCTGTGACTTTGAAGATCCCTTCAAGCATTTTCTGCAACAGATAGAACCCTGACTGTGCCCACTACCACCTTATGTGTGGGGAAGATTCTCCCAAAGGGAAGCATAGGTAATTTCAGCATCTTTCACATGACTAAGAGTCCCAAGGAATGGAAGAGACATTTGCCCTCAGGGGAACCCAAGTCAGCTGACATGGAAAGAACTCTGGATTTCCACCCCTGTTCTGCAGGCTGTGTGACTCTGAAAAACACTCTAACTTCTAGTGTCTGGAACGGGGATGATAATAATGCCTACAGTATGTCCCTCATGGGGTCACCATGGGGAGCAAATGGAGTAAATAGCGTCCTTGGTTGCAGGCCCCCAGGATCCCCACTTTGCAGTTGTTAGAGGCTGACACGAGTGGGATTGTTGTATGTGAATGCACCTCGAAGCCCTAGCACGAGGTGCACATCTCATGCGCATTTAGCGATGGCCCCTATAATGACCATGATTACACACTGAACCTCCTGTACCTCCCTAGACACATGGATATCTGTAAGTTGACAATAAATAGATATCCTCTGGTATCTCACTGTCATCAATCAGTGACAGGAAATGGAAGGCAGCAGTGGCCTGGGGCCACCCTCTTGCCAGGATCTGTTACCTGGTCCTGATATAGTATGACTAGGGTTGAGGAGAGTGAGAAAGGGAGAAGATGAATGTGGGATGCCTCCGCACGACGTTTTTCCAATGGGCTGCTTTGGTTGATCTTAGAAGTGAGCCATGTTTCACTCAGTCTGGATGTACTGATACTTTACTGAGCATGAATTCTGGATCCCAAAAAGCAGTGAGCAGAGGTGCTTGTCTAAACAAGTAAACTTCTTTGTCGTTCTTAGGGGTGCTGCTGAGGGGGAACTGAGGTTCATGTTTACTAACATTTATTTTAGTTTATTTCATTCTCTGTTTTCTGTTCTCTTTCCTTTTAGGCTTACGATTCATGCTGAGTGCCCCATGCATTTGGAAGATTTCCCCATGGATGTGCACGCCTGCCCACTGAAGTTTGGCAGCTGTATGTATTTTCTCTGTTTCATTTGTTTGATCTTCTACCAAAAGAAATCAATCTGTCTTATTTTGCTCCCTGGGGGGTTCTCAAGCAAGGCCTATGTCTCTGGCTGCTATGGAAGTGAGTAAAGGGAATGGGGTCAAGAAGTAATAACTGGCCAGGAGGAAAAGACTTAGCTTTTAAGTTTTCTTCCTAAGCTCTTAACAGAGTTTTCTTTTTATTTTTTTTAATTTTATTTAAGGAGGAAAAAAAAAAGCAGAGAAAGGGTACAAGTTATACAGATTTACAGAAAAAAAGATAAACAGTAGGAAATCACTAGTTAATGGATTACATATTGTCATCTTAGAAATAATTGTTCAAGTCACAAAATTAAAGCTTGTAAAGTGGACATTCCATCAATGATACTGCAAACAGTTCTGTTCAATGATCCAATAAAACTCTGTGATATCATTTTCTATCTTCTACACTTAAATATACATGCAGTTATATAGTTTAGAGCACTTTCTTTTCCTCTCTTTTGTACAATGACTATTACACATTTTGGGTTTCATTGCTCCCACGGTTCTTATTACTTTTTTGGAAGAGAGTAAAACCAAATGTGACATAACAGAACAGAATCGGTCAAATCAAAAGGGTGGACATAATAGATAATGTAAAAACATAATACAAGGTGATCAACAATGGTTACCATAATGCCTCCCGCTATCTCTAATAGAATTGCCTATATCATTAGTTATAATAAAATTGAACAAAACAGTAAAGAACAAAACCGACAAAACCAAAACATTGGAGACATTGTAGGTCTTCAAAAGTAGATAAAAGTCAACGAGAATGGGCGTTATAATGAATCTCATTATCTTCACAGCTGATGCCTAAACTTTCGAACCTGATACTATCCAGCAAAACAGAATAGGGGAACATCAGTCAAAAACAAGATGGTGAGAGTAATACAGGGCTTTAAATCGAGATAATGGAAAGTCAAAGTGGGTTACTATAATCTATCCTGCTATTTTTATTTATTTTTCCTTTAATTAAAAGGATAAAAATAAAAAAGTAAATAATGGAGTGGAGATTGAGATAGAAGAGGGCATAACAGCGAAATAGCACAGATCAAAACATAACCATTTAAGCAGAATAGTGTTTCTCCACCAGATAATCCTGACCTAAAAGTAGTTACCATATTGTCTCTTTCCTTGAAATCCTTGAGTACAACTTCATATACTGTAGCATTAAATATATCAAAACAATGTAAAACCATTTAAAAGAATGACAGCATTACAGAGTATTTAGAATCGACTAACAGAAAATGAATAATGGTTTCTGTATAATCTCCTTGTCTTTAAAAGGTTTTTGCTTATACTATCGTACATAATAAAATCCAGTAAGATACAACCTATTTAGACCATTGGAGACAGAAGAACAAAAGCTTGATGAGACTTCAAAACAAGATGATACTAAGTCAGTATTACCTATTAAGATGTCATTTTCTCCAAAATAGCTGTTCCTATCATCCAATCTTCTCTGCCTCATTTCTGTTGAGCTCTTTTTCTGTCAGTAGCTGTCCGTTTGTCTTCTTCATTTTGTTCTCTGCTCCATTCATTGTGGTCTCCCCACCACTATTTCTGGATTCTTTGTATTTTTCTTTTTTTAGAATATCCTGCAATACTCTCTGTAGAGTTGAATTGGTGGTTGCAAATTCCCCCAGTTCCTCTTTATCCTGGAAGCACCTTGTTTTTCCATCAATTTCCAGGGACAGTGGTGCAGGATATCTCAATTTTGGCTGGAGATTATTATCTTTCAAAGCTTGAATTATTTCCCCCCACGCTCTTCGTGATTTGATCGTTTGTGCAGAGAAATCTGCTGTAATTCTGATGGGTGCTCCCTTGTAAGTGGTCTGTTTCTTGTCTCTGACAGCTTTTAATATTCTGTTCTTGTATTGAATTTCTGGAATTTTTATTATTATATGCCTGGGTGTTGCTCTGTTTGGGTTGTAGGTAGCTGGGGTCCTGTATGCCTCATACATCTGAGTATCTTTACCTTTTGCTAAATTAGGAAAATTCTCCTGGATTATTTCTGTGAGTAGCTTTTGTAGTTCATTTGTTTGTGTCCCTACTTCTTCTTTTATGTTCTTAATCCTTAAGTTATGGATCCTCTTATCATCTTCTTGTCTTTGTATTATTGCTGTTTGTTTCTTTGTTATTTTTAAGAAGTTTTTCATTTCATTCTCCCATATTACAAATCTGCCCTCCAGTTCAGATAGTCTGTCCATAGTTTCTTTCAAGCTGTTATGCCAGTCTTCGATAGACTTCTTAGTTTCTTGGTAGTCCCTTTGAACCTGCTTCACGTATTCTATGCTTTCTCTGTTTTCTCCATCAAACAATTCTCCCCTCTTTTCCTGTTCTTCCATTCCACCATCTGTTTTTTCTTGGGTGGTGCTTAGCATTTCTCTAACTATTCTGCATACTTCTAGCTTCAGGTCGTTGATAACTTCATTCCTGAACTGATCTATGAGGCTCTCTATATGGCACTTTATGTCTATTGGTGTGGTGTCCGCTATTACCTGTTTCTCAGAATTGGGGGCCGAGGAGCCTTACTTATTGTTGCCTCTTCCCATATTCTCTATTCCTTATATATGCAAGCTTATATAGGAGACCCAGCTTCTCTCCCTGTCAGCCACAGCCTGATCGAATTGCGCCGGTTAGGTGTTCCCGCCCACCGCAGCACAAAAGGGAGTTATGGACCAGGCAGCCTATGCAGGGCCTGCCCCTCCCGGCCACCATCAGGCTCTGGGATCTGGGTTGGGCTAGCCTACTGGGTCCGCCAGCAGCATCACGTAGGCTAGGCACTTTTCATCAGTCCTGCCTGAGAGGGGGATGTGTGGCTGGAGTCACCACCGCGCCCTGCTCCCGCAAGACTGCCCGGGCCCAGAATGTCCTCCGCTGGAGTCAAACTGTGGTAGAGTGTCAGTTTCTCTCACTCACCTCACCACAAGTCAGTGCATGCCTCCCTGCCCGTCCTGTTTTCGACTCCGTTCCCAGATTCCCGTTCTCAGAGCTTCCGCGCGTCTCTCTCCTTGCCGAGCTGACGTAGAGGCAGCCGCCGCGTGGCGGGAAACCCAAATCACGGCTTCCAATGGCGCAGGCTCCAGCCTCCACACTGAGGCTTTTCTGTTCCTGTTTTAGCACCAGGACTGCATTCCAAGTTGGTTTCTCTCAGCCCAGTTCATTCCTGAGTCAGCAGAGCGTATCTCCACCTGCTTATGTCTTCTTACTCCACACCCTTCCTGACTTCTGAGCCGAGCCTTTCAGAGAGCCTCCGTAGTAGCTGTTATCTGTCCGCCATGTTCTCCCGGAAGTAGGGCTTCAATCACCATACCCAACTTGGAGAGCAGAGTTTTCTTTTTAAACAGTAAATCTTATCTCACCATTTCAAAATAATTCCTGTGTCATTAAAGTATCAACATCTGTTTGCTAATTTGCCCAGAGGACAGGGCAGGCTAGAACTGACGCACAGAACAGTAGTAGTTTCTGAAATATAAGGTCACACAAAGAGATTATATTTATGCATATTTTAAAATGTCCATTCCTCTTGTACCTGTATATACTTCTGTCTTATTCTCAACAGTAAATAATACAGAGGAAGCCACCAAAGAGTTGCTCACTTTTTAGAATATTGCCTTTCCCACTAGCTATACATTATACAGAGGAGACAGTAAATAAATGGTCTGTTTTCAAGTGAATTAGAAAACTCAAAATTGCAGTATCATTGTTGGAATGTCCACTTTACAAGCTTTAATTTTGTGACTTGAACAATTATTTCTAAGATGACAATATGTAATCCATTAACTAGTGATTTCCTACTGTTTATTTTTTTCTGTAAATCTGTATAACTTGTACCCTTTCTCTGCTTTTTTTTTCTCCTTAAATAAAATTTTTAAAAATTGAAAGTAATTTAAGTGTTCTGGAACTAAGAATTTCATAGTAAGTATTGTATCAGGTCATCAGACTAATATGCCAAAATATGTGTGATCCTGTCTATATTAGATTTACCTCTGCAATTTGAAATAGAGCATTTGAAAAACTGCAATAATTATACATGGCCTATTTTTCATTCATTCATTTGCCAAATGTTTACAGATTGTCTCCTATGTGCCAGTCTCTATTTTAGGTGTGGGAATGCATTCATAAATAAAACAAAATCCTCTGGCCATGTGGAGCTTTTATTAGAAATTGGAGTAATAGTGAAAGATCAAGTAAATAAAGAATAAAAAGGAAAGTGTGAAGTATGTTGTGAAGTGAGAAAAACCGTGGGAAAACATGCAAGTACTGTGGAATGAGACGAGTCAGTCACACCCAGGTGGGATACGGTTATCAGTGAAACTGCAATGACTGCTCAGGGACCCCACTTTACTGGAAAACACAGTAGGCATGGGGGGACGAGGAAGGCCACAGATAAGAGCTGGAGAGGAGGCAGAAGTTCTACCGCTCCATATTGTCGGGGGGCGCTTATGGTAACAACACTTTGCTTTGTATTTCAAAAGAGTTAAAAGTTCCCCAAATGAAGAAATTATAAATGTCTGAAAGGATGGATATTCTAGTTACTCTGGTTTGATCATCACACTGCTGCAGATGAATATGTGCAATTGGCATACATCGGTTAAATTTTAGCAGAATGCAGGCATGGAGGCACACCTACAATCAGGTGGGAGGATCACAAGTTCAAACCCAGACTGGGCAACACAGTGGCTTAGGCAGACTTTGGCTCAAAATTTAAAAATACCAAGGGCTGGGGATGTATCTCATTTGCAAAGGTTCAATCCCCAGTACTAGAAAGAAAAAAAAAATTCAAAAAATGACAGTTTTAAATAAACTTTTGTAAAGTAAAGGGGTTAATGATACAGCCATCTAAGGAGTTAGTGTCTCAGGGAATAGAAATAACTCAGAGAAAAGATGGTAAAGTTTTAAAAAATATTACACTTATTCAATAAATATTGGAGAAGCCATTGC